ACTAACTAACTATCCTGATTCCACCACGCTGCCTCACAAATCATTAACACGACAGCCAGCTAATGTAGATGTTCTGACTTGCACAGGACAGAGTTACCGTCCGTGGCCCAGAAGAATGTGGCGTTCGCCCGCCTGGCTCACCCCGTGAACCTGGGACCCACCTGTCAGGAGGCGCAGTTTGTCGTGCTGCTGCTCACGCCGGGAAAGGAGGTAAGTCTGTGACGTAGATGGAGGGAGGTCTGTGACGTAGGAGAGGGGGGTCTGTGACGTAGGAGAGGGGGGGTCTGTGACGTAGAAGGAGGTAGATCTTTCCTGTGATGTAAAAGGAGGGAGGTCTGTGACGTAGGAGGGAGGTCTGTGACGTAGAAGGAGGGAAGTCTGTGACGTAGAAGGAGGTAGGTCTGTGACGTAGAAGGAGGGAGGTCTGTGACGTAGAAGAAGGGTGGTCTGTGACCAAGGAGGAGGGAAGTCTGTGACGTAGGAGGTAGGTCTTTCCTGTGATGTAGAAGGAGGGAGGTCTGTGATGTAGAAGGAGGGAGGTTTGTGACGTACAAGGAGGGAGGTCTGTGACGTAGAAGGAGGGGGGTCTGTGACGTAGAAATAGAGAGAGGTCTTTGGTGTAGAAGGAGGTAGGTCTTTGGTGTAGAAGGAGGTAGGTCTTTGGTGTAGAAGGAGGAAAGTCTGTGACGTAGAAGGAAGGAAGTCTGCGACGTAGGAGGAGGGCGGTCTGTGACGTAGGAGGAGGGAGGTCTGTGATGTAGAAGGTGGTAGGTCAGTGACGTAAGTCTTTCCAGTGATCTAAAAGGAGGTATGTCTTTGGCGTAGAAGGAGGGAGGTCTGTGGTATAGAAGGAGGGAAGTATGTGACGTAGAAGGAGGGTATGTTTATGACGTAGCAGGATGTGGGCTTATTACAGAGAAGGATGTGGGTTTATTACGTAGAAGGATGTGGGTTTATTAGGTCCTACCTCTGTGACGTAGAAAGAGGTAGGTCTGTGACGTAGAAAGAGGTAGGTCTGTGACGTAGAAAGAGGTAGGTCTGTGACGAAGAAGGAGACGTGATGTAGGCCAAGTCAACAGGCCAAGATGTACATGACGTAGGCCAGGTCCCTTCCACACAGGAAGTGCATGTGAAGGTTAGTTGATGACGTAGGATGTGTTATTATTAAACATGTAGCACGTGTGTCGGTGTGGCGTCGGTGGCCTAGTGGTTAGGCTCTCGGACTCGCAACCGTAAGGTCGGGGGTTCGAATCCCGTCAGGGGCCCGACGTTATGTCCTTGGGAAAGGCACTTTGCACAAATTTTCCTCACTTCACCCAGGTGGAAATGGGTACCCGGCT